TAACTTCTATACTATCCGTGACTGCTCTCTCCTGAGCTCAGTATCTTCAGAGACTGTTTCGCAGAATGACACAGAGGTGATTGGGGGTGTTACATGAAGAACATCGAAGGAACAGAGACTGTTGAGCCTAGAGAAGAGGCTACGTGGAGACAAGCCCCTATGAATTCAAATAAAGTTGTTAATTAAAGTTAATTAAAGTTGTTCTGTAAACTGAGTTGTTCTCGGTGTCCTCTGCTGAAGTCATAGGTAGACACTGCAGGGAGATTGATGTGCACTAGTGTCACGCAGAACTTGTAATGCAGACTTTCTGGGGACTCACAACTTGCTCGTGGCGACGTCCCACATTGGCAGGCCTGAAAGTCAAGTTCATGCCTCTTGGAGGTTGTATGCCAGTGTCCCTTTTGACAATTATTGGCCCTTTTCCCTCTCTGTCTTTTTTCTAGTCTGTGCAAAATATGTATTTTCTTTCTTTCTTTCTTTCTTTCTTTAGGCCAAAGGAGATTATTATCTTATTTGGCATGGGTTTTGGAAGGTGAAGTTCACGTTTGTTAAGCAAGAAGCGGTCTTCGGGTGGAAAGAGCACAGGCTGTGCACGCACGGTTACTCATTCCAGTTCTCTCTGATCCTTGTGTACCTGAGAGACTCGGGCATCAGCAGACAGCTTAAATAATGCAGAAGGCATAATTCATTGATATCTCCGGCTTTAGCCAGTTATGCTGCTACCTATTTGAAGCATGCAAGTCTTTTCATTTTTTGCAAGTTTCTTGTTTAATGCTGAGACACTTGTGCGTCTCCACCTTCGAAAACTTCCATGCCCGTCCTTGCCAATTAGTACCCTGATTTGGCAAATTTCTGGCCACGCCAGTGGAGCAATTGCATGAGTCAAACTCAGAAAAACGGTATGAGATGATTTTGTTTTGCTGGTCTGCAGGCAGATTCCACCGTAGTAACTGAGATGACATACTGCGAATTGGAAACCGTTCCCTCGACCTATTTCCTTGCAGACATTGGCTAAGTACACCACTGATTTAATAAGATGATTTCAGGACAACCAAAAAGCCTGTGAGCATCTTGGGATAATGTCGAGGCTAGAGCATTTCAGAGAAGGCTCACGTGACAGGGTTAAGTCAAAATCACAGCTATTAGACCTCATCATCCTGCAATCCTTAAGTAACTTTGTGCTTTTCTTTTTTTTAACATGTCTTATGTCTCTCAGCCAAAGACCAGCCCTCTCAGGGGGACGAAGAGAAAGACCCTCCCAAGAGCCACCCATACTCTGTGGAGACCCCCTACGGCTTTCATTTAGACCTGGACTTCCTCAAGTATGTGGATGACATCGAGAAGGGAAACACCATCAAAAGGATTCCCATTCATAGACGGGCCAAGCAGGCCAAGTTTAGCACCTTGCCCCGAAACTTCAGCCTCCCTGACAGTGGGGCTCGCCCCCATGCCCCTCTGCCCCACCAACACTGGTCCCCGGCGGTGCCGAGGAAGGTGTCACTCGGGACACAGGAGCAAGCCCAGTTGCCGCCACTTGGTCATGGCCCCCAGGCCTCAGCCAGCGCCGGCGAGGTGAGCTACCACAGGAGGGCTGTGCTGGCAGAGGCCAGCAGGCAGTTGGAGGCTGCTGGTCCGGAGGCCGCAGAGCTGGCCTCCGGGAGTGGACGGCCCCAGCTGTTGAGGGCCTCCAGTATGCCGGCCACGCTGCTGCCCGACAGGGCCCCCGAAGAGCCGAGCCTCAGCCTGGGTCCCCCCACACCTCCGGCCCTCCCTCCCCTTCAGGGAGAAGGCAGTCTCTGGGACGGCACCTTTGGCCCCGCTGAAGGATTGGCAGGCTTTCACAGCTCCAGCCCTCAAGCATCCACCCAGCCAAGAGTCAGAGAATCGGGGGACCTGGTGCCTGGGGTTCTGGAACCAGGCCCGGAGGAGGCTGGACCTCCAGAGCCTCCAACTCACCTCCTTCTCCCAGGTCCTCCTTCCTCATTCCAGAACGCGCTGGTGGTTCTAGAGGATGGGGAAGAGGAACACCAACCCAGAGAAGCGGAGGGGGTGTTCCCCGCTGGCTCCCCCCCCCCGAGCCCCCCGCCTCTGCCGTCTCCTATCCCCGAGAGTGAGTTCCCCCTGGAAGAAATCGAGCTCAACATCAGTGAGATCCCGCCCCCGCCACCGATAGAGGTGGACGTGCGGAGCATCGGCATCCGGGTGACCGAGGAAAGCCTGGGCCTCCCCGATGTGACTGTAGGCGGCGTCTCCAGCCTGAGGCAGCGGGTCTCGGCCCTCGAGGGCGAGCTGTCTGGAAGAACTCAGGAACTGGTGCAGCTCAGAGCTGCGCTCCAGCAGCAGGAAGAGGAAACCAAGACTCGGGAGCAAAGGATTCAAGAACTGGAGGGTGCCGTAGCCCAGCTGGAAGGACAGCTTAGCCGAGAGAATGCCAGAGATGCTCGGGGCCAGACGGACGCCATGGTGAACACCGACCCAGTCCTCGGACTCTTGGCCAGGGAGTCATGTGACAAGAGCGTTGAGGTCAACCTTCTGGGCATAGCAGAACCTGAAATCTGGGGGGCTCGAGGAGAGGAGAATGGTCTCCCGTGGGGGCAAGACAGTGACAAACAAGGAGATCACAGCCCAGGGGATCACGCGCTGTCACCCCAGCAGCCACTGCCGCAGGGACCTGAGAAGGCCCTCACCTCTTTACACAGCTGCCTCTCCACTGAACTCAGGATCGAAGAAGCGGGCTCTGAGCAGGAGGGAGGCCCTCGGGGAGGAGCGGAGGGCCCGGCTGTCGGGGGCACGGGTGGCTCTTCGTGGAGTGGCGGAAAGACCCCCCCAGCGGGGAGGGAGGAGGCCAGCTCAGAGCTCCCAGGGAAGGAGCGCGCGGGAAGGCCGCCCAGCTCGCCGACAGATGCCACCATCGGGCAGTACGTGAAGAAGATCCAGGAGCTCCTGCAGGAGCAGTGGAGCTGCCTGGAGCACGGGTACCCGGAGCTGGCCAGCGCCATCAAGCAGCCGGCCTCCAAGCTCAGCAGCATTCAGAACCAGCTGCTCAGCTCCCTCAACCAGCTGCTCTCCGCCTACTCGGCCCAGGCGCCCCCTCAAGAGGAGCCCCCGGCCCCCTCCTCCCCACCGATGGGTAAATACTGGGGCCTGAGACTAGGGACCCTTTCTCCTTTAGTGAAGAGGCAGAGGCGAAAAGGTTTTCAGTTGCATGAGTCTTTCATTTTATTTTTTTGAGTTGGAGTCTCACTGTGTTGCCCAGGCTGGAGTGCAGTGGCACACCCCTGGCCACTGCAGCCTCAACCTGCTGGGCTCAGGCGATCCTTCCGCTTCAGCCTTCCGAGTAGCTGGAAATACAAGCACGTGCCACCATGCCCGGCTAATTTTTCAATTGATTGTAGAGACGAGGTCTCACCAAGTTGCCCGGGATGGCCTCCAATCCATCAGCTCAGGCAAATCCTCTCACCTCAGCCTCCCAGAGTGCTGGGATTATAGGCATGCACCACTGCGCCCGGCCATGAGTATGTTTTCAAAAAGCTTTTAAGGCCTGGTGGGGTGGCTCGTACCTGTAATCTCAGTACTTTGGGAGGAAGCAGGAGGATTGCTTGAACCCAGGAGTTCGAGACCAGAGTAGGCAGTGTAGCGAGATCTCATCTTATTTTTTTAAAAATAAAAAAGTTAGCCAGGTGTGATGGTGCACGCCTGTCATCCCAGCTACTCAGGAGGCCGAGGCTGTGGTGAGCCGTGATTGTGCCGCTGTGCTCCAGCCTGGGCGACACAGTGAGACCTCAACCAAAAAAAGAAAAAAAACTTGAGCACCTCCAAGAACCCAGTGGAATATGACAGATAGGTGTTTTAGTGGAAGCACAGGACCTGTACTCCAGGCATTGCTCTAAGTCTGGGTCTGACTGCAAGGCCACCCCCTCCAGCTGTTCAGATAGCTCCGGGCACCAAGATGCCAGACGGGGAGGGCAAATCGGAGTGGAAATCCAGCCCACCCTTCTGTTTGCCAGGCCGTGTACATGGCGCCGCTTCCAACCCAGAGGGGCCTGCACTCCTTGGCCTTGCACAAGGCAGGGTCGGGGCCCAGGGAGGCCCTGCAGGGCGTGGGTTCCAAACCTCGGCCTGCCTGCAGCATTCCCTGGGCTCTTGCGTGCCTGTGTTCCTCTCTGGCTCTCAAGGCTTTCTCTAGCCCGGGTTTGGAGGAATATTGGATTGAGGTTGGAAGGAGCTCACTGAATATTTTCTCCGGGTATGTGTACGCGTGCACGTGGGTACATGTGCGTGTGCGCACGCGGGGGGTGGGGAGATGGAGTGCTGCTCACATGTGGAAATCGGCCTTTGGGCTGAGAAGCACTTCCTCTTGTAACGGATCAAGCCCTCTTCGCCGTGGGGTAAAGTGGAACCATATTTCGCTCTGCCCAGCGGGGCGCTTGTGAGTCTGCTTCCCGCCACAGATCGCCAGTTGGCTGCTTTCTCATGATCTCGGGGCCAGTTCCGGCCTTGCCTGTAAGGAAATGCCCCCTGGACGGTCGAGCACAGCGCAGGAAGATCTGTGCCCCTGCTCATGTGTCTGCCGTGAGCACAGTGTCATTCCCTCATGTGCCGAGTGTCAACGTGTACTTGTGAGCCAGGAAGGCCGCCCCGGTGCCCTCGAGCAGAGGGGGGTGCGGGACCTTGCGTCCGGAGACCAAAATTCTGCTCTGGCGTTGCCCTTCACTGAGCAAATCTGATCTCGGATACCCCAGTCCTAAGACAGAGACGACCATGGCGTTGACGCCACGTGGTTCTTTATCCACATCTAGACGGGCATTAATGGGGACAACTCTCCCGACATTGGCCAGAAAGCCAGGCCCCCTAAGGGACCCCCAAAACATTTGATAGTGTCATCTACCTGGTTCCCTGCCCCTTCCTACCCCCGTGTCCCCTCAAAGCAAGATCGCAGCTTTGCCGTGTTCCCATACACCCCCAGGATCGTTCTAACCTGTGATGTTGTGTCTGCCTAGAGATCTCCCCGTCGACCAGCCTTAAATCCATAATGAAAAAGAAAGACTATGGCTTCCGTGCAGGAGGTAATGGGACCAAAAAGAACCTTCAGTTTGTTGGGGTTAACGGTGGGTAAGCATCACCTGTGAAGCCCAGACCGCCTTCCCTGCCACCTCCCCTGCTAATACCCTCAGCACTCTCTTTTCCTCGGGGGAGGCATCTGGTTTTCATTCCTCTTCAGGGGAATTCATCTCAATGGCCCTTTAAAACTCCATCTCGGGCTTGCATGTGTTTGGCTTCTGGCCAGCTGTGGTGGTCTGTGGGAGCCTCTGCTTTTAATAAGTCTTGGCTTTGGTCTCCCCTAGGGCCAGGACTCCAGGTGGCTCTTGGGAGTTTGGGGGAGGACAGGGGCCCCTGGAAGAAGGCATTTAACCTGAACCACAACACTGAAACGAGTACAAACTCTGTTAATTGGTTGAACTTCAAATTTCATCCACTTAATTTTTTCTTCCTTTAACTTCCTGCCAACCAAACCCAAGGGTTTGAGGATAAAGAAAAACATTCAGTCTATTGATTTAGAACTTGAATGACCCCAGCCTTATATATTCTGAAATATTGGATTGAGAATATTTTCTAAATCATTCAACAAGCGTTTATTAAATGCTGACAATGTGCCAGGCTGTGGAGATAAAAAAGCCAAGTAAATCATGGTCCTGGCTTCAGCTCACAGAAAGGATAAGAAGGTCAGGCATGGTGGCTCTCGCCTGTAATCCTGGCCCTTTGGAAGGCCAAGCAGAAGGATCATTTGAGCTCGGGCGGTCAAGGCCTGCCTGGGCGGCATAGCGCAACTGGTCTTTATTTTTGAAAAAAGAAATGACAAGAAGTGCTGGTGTGCCAAGATGAGTTCTGTAGACCCGGGGATGTAGGATGCTGTGGACGCCCAAAAGAGGGGACCCACCAAGACTGCCCAGAGAGGGGGGATGCCCTACTACTTCAAGGCACACTAGAAGGGAAGACGCTAGCTGCAAACAAGGGGTGACGGCATCACTGCAGGTTTCATGAGGGAAGTGTCAGAAATGAAGAAACGGGGTGTCACAGCAGAGCTGCTGTCCTGCTTCCGCTGACATCTGACCCTGGGTTTCTGAGTTTTCTCCAGTTCATGTATAGAAAAGGAGAATCGGTCAATCTCAAAGCCCCATGTAGGCCACCTCTCTCCCCAGTTTAAACTCCCCAGCAGTCCCGACTCTGCGCCCAAACCTGGAAGGGCCAGATCATGGCTCTGGCCTGCCTCAGCTCCCGCCGTTGTCAGGTCTTCCCTTTCCCCAGCATGCTGGACTTGCGTCCGTCTCAGGGCCCTGGCCTTTGCTGTTCCTCTGTCTAAAGTGCTGTCTCTTAGAGACTCCTCAGTATTTGTCATTCTAGTGCCATGGTTCTCAACCTCACTGCACATTGGAAATGCGGGGAGAGCTTTACAGAATCCCCGTGTCTGGGTCCCATTCCTGAAGATGCTGGTTTAATCAGTCTGGGTGTTGTCCACATACCGGGAATTCTAAACACTCCAAGTGATTCTAATGTGCCACCAAGGTTAGAAACTTCTGCCCTTCATGCCTGTAATCCCAGCACTTTGGGAGGCAGAAGTGAGAGGATCGCCTGAGCCCAGGGGTTCAAGACCAGCCTGAGCAACTTGGCGAGATCTCATCTCTATACAATAAAGCAAAAAATTAGCCAGGCATGGTGATGTATGCCTGTAGTTCCAGCTACTTGGAAAGCTGAGTCTGAAGGATCACCTGACCCAGCAGATCAAGGCTGCGGTGGCCTTGATTGTGTCACTGCACTCCAGCCTGGGTGGCAGAGTGAGACTCCAACTCAAAATAGAAAGAAAAAGAAACTTCTGCTCTTACTAAAGTAGCCCCTCCTCCCATCACCCCATCTCATGGCCCTTTTTTGTTTTATTTATTGTTCTTTTCACTATCTGAATGTGGTATTTATTTACATGTTTATTTTCCACCTCTGCCTCCTAGAATATAAGCCCCACTAGGGCAGGGACTTGGGTATAGAACTTAGAACAGTGCCTGGCACATAGTAGGTGCTCAATACATTCCTGCTGAGTGAATGAATAAACTTCCAGCTGAAGTTGTTATGGAAGCAGTTCTAAAATGAGCACTGCTTGGTACACGTAACATGTCCCGACTCTCTTAATTACAAAGGAAAAAGGTTGTTCTAAGTACAATAGAGGAATTAAGTAAGACAGAAATCAGCATTCCAGTGAGCACAAGGGCCTTATGTAGGGGCCACCATTCGGAGAAAGAGCCTTGGGTCCAGTGGAGGCCATGGCCACTGGTCCCTGTGGCTGGGTCCGGTGGCCCCAGAACCCGAAATCTTCATCTTATGAGCATCCTCCATTGGGTGTCTCCTGTTGAACATCAGTGAGGAATCAGTAATCTTCCAGGACTTTCCTCCATGCCCTCTGATCTTGCCAACTCAGTAGAGTCACTTCTAACTGAACATAAGGACTGCTGCTGGGAAGGAAGGCCATGAGTCAAACGATCGTACTCTCCCTTTTGCTGCTCCAAGCACTAGTTCAAACGGGCTGCAGCCGAGAGGCAGGTGTGGGCTGATGTATCCCACGGAGCCTGCTGGGAATTGGTGCAGATGAGTACACGTCCTACCAGGGCAAGCCGGAGGCTGGACAGGCGGGCTCAGGGGAGGCTCGCTCTCACCCAGAGACGATTTGTCAGGCAATTCAACAAACTCAGGGTGGAGGTGGGAATGTGGGCCCGGACTGGGGATCCTCTCTGGACCCAACATAAGATTCCACAAGCCAATGCTTCCATGAGAAGCTCGGCTTGCCACACACACTGTGAATGGTCTCCTCCCCCAAGCAGCCCCCATGTCAGAGCCAGAGTCCTTTACCACCTGTCTCTCTGAGGCCAAGATTCCTGGGATCCCCTCCCTGCTGCAGGCATGGGGGAGGGAGGAGGAGATGAGCATACTGGGGGGTGTCACCTGAGGCCCCCCTGGTTGTCACTGATGTTGGCGTGGGCACGGGGCAGGAGGGACAGGACGAGTGACCTTTGTCTCCTTCTTCAGCTATGAGACCACCTCGAGTGAGGAGACCAGCGGTGAGGACAGCTCCCCAGAAGACTTGTCTGACAGCGAGGCTGAGAAGAAGTGTGATGGTCCAGAGCACAGGCGGGCCAAATTGGCCCATCCCAGCTGTGGAGCTGGGCAGGGCGTCCCCGAGGGCACACACTATGCAAGCCAAGACAGGGAGCCCGGGGAAGAAGTCCTGCATACCAAGGCTGAGAGGTGAGCAAATTGGTACAAATGAGGACACTTATTCCTCTACAAAAGGGCAGAAAGATGTGATACTTGTTCCTCTACACATCCACTCTTCATTCGGTCACGTGTTCATTCTCTTCCCCATCAGCACTCACCCATCAGTCACCCATGTGTGTAGGCTTCTGTTCATGCCAGGCTCTGTGCACAGGTTGAACAGTGGCTTCTGCGTCCATGGAATACACTTTGGTAGCCGGATTTCTACATAGGAAGCTAGCATTGACCCAGCACTGAAAACGGGAAGGACTTTGCACGTATCACCTTAGATAATCCTTTTAACAATCCTACAGGCCGGGTGCGGTGCCTCGAGCCTGTCATTCCAGCACTTTGGGAAGCCAAGGCAAGAGGATCGCCTGAGCCCATGGGTACGAGACCAGTCTGGGCAACTTAGCAAGATGAGCCTGTACAATAAGTCAAAAAATTAACCAGGCGTGGTGGCTCATGCCTGTAGTTTCAGCTACTTGGAAGGATCGCCTGAGCCCAGCAGGTTGAGGCTGCGGTGGTCCTGAGCGTGCCCCTGCACTCCAGCCTGGGCAACAGAGTGAGACTCCAACTCAAAAAAAAAATCCTTTAAAGTAGAAATTATTATAATTCTCACTTTACAGATGTGGAAACAGAGGCTCAGAGAAGAGCAGGGATGCAGCTGGTGGAGCAGGGGTTCCCTCCCTGGTCCTCCCAGTCCTCACCCTCAGCCTCTCTGCCCACCCCCTTGGCCACACTGACATCCCTTGTCTTTTGAAGTGATGGGGGCATGCGGTGTGATGAGAAGAGTGCCCTCTCTGGGGTTGGACTCACCTGGATTTATATCCTGCCTCTGCCCTAGTGTGACGTTAGGCTGGGTCCTTAAACTGTGGTCGCCTCAGTTTCCTCATCCGTAAAATGTACCAGCCCGAGAGGTTTGATCTGAGGACTGTGTGAGAAAAAGCGAGTGTCTGCTCAGCACGGTGCCTGGCACATCATAGGCTCTCAGTAAATGGCAGACACAGGGCTGGCCAGGATCACTCTCTTAATTCCAAAAGCGAAAGGGTGTTCTAGGTATAATAGAGGAATATCTGGGGTTCAAATAAGATGGAAGCCAGCGTCCCAGTGAGCACAGGGGCCTTATGTAGGGGCCGCCACTAAGAGAGTCGGGACCACACGGCCGGGATGGTCATCATCATCATCACCATCCTGACCCAGTGAGGAATGGTGAAGGGGGGCTGAGAGTTGCACAGGCCCCCAGGGATGCTCCATCATGACAGCGCGATAGAGATGTGCCGAGTGAACAGGCTTCCTAGGGACCGGTGCCACTGAGTCCCAACTGAGGCCTCTTGGTGCCGTCTGCTTTCGTGGGAACACAGGAAGAGTGCTTGTCACCACAGACGCCCCAGCCTAAATGCGTCTCCCTCTCCTGACTCCACCAGTACTTACAGTGTCCTTCATGGAAGAATGACCGGAAGAAATTTGCTGGTATGGATTAGGAGGCTCTTTGGATTTTTATAGTCATCCAGGCAGAAAAATGTTTGGTCCAAAGTCAGAAAGGCAGCGCTCCCCTCCTCCCCTTCCCAGTGTGCCAGGAATTGCAGCTGGACCTGTCTCTCCTGCCACCTCCCCACTCCCTCTCACCCCCGGGGCTTTGGTTATCTGCTCCAGCCCCTGATAAACGCAGGATGAAATGGTCACCAGGCTTGACTCACTCTTCAGAAGAGTTCAGAGATCAAACTGCATCGTCAGGACGCTGTGGTCACCCCTCATTTCCGAAGACTGGCCCTGTCCTGGGGCAGTTGCCCAGTTTGGGTGTTTGAGCTGCTGAGAAGTGTTAGAGGAAGAGAATGAAAGTCTTTTTTTGTCAACGTGGAGAATGATTCTCTAAATAAATGCCTGTATTTGTTTCCTTTAGATATAAACCCTCAGAAGAATTTCTTAATGCATGTCGGGCATTGAGCCAACATCTGCCGGAAACCGGGACCATCACCGACCAACTCTTGGTACTCTGATTTTTCATTGTCGTGTCAAGATTTCCATTCTTTTCGAGAGGTTAGCACCCACAGGGTGACTTTGGTCTCTTGCCTGAGGCAGCAGTGTGATTGCAGGCCAGAGCCCTTTCCTCTGGGCGTTCTCTCATTTACCCAAACCTGCTGCCCGAGGTGATGGATCCTGCTGGGGAAGTAGACCTGATGGATGTGCACACACACGGCAGGCCCAGGGCTCAGAGGCACTGCCCAGGCACCATTAGGCATCGCACCCTGAATGTCTGTCCTCAACTCTGTGGCTTAGGTTCAAAACCACCCTGTGGTCCCATAGAACGGTGGGTAGAGTGGAAAAGGCGTGCTGACTGGAAACCGGGGGTTCTATTCCCAAGACCCTCATCTGTGAGATATTGGGCAGGTCAGTTCAGTGCTCAGGGCCTGCATTTCCTCATCAACAAAATGAGGGTGGGGGGTAGCGTGCACCCATCCCCTCAAGCCCTTACGTCTAATTCTGCAGTCACTTACTGTTTTTCTTGACGCCTACCTCTGAGTCAAGAGACCAAAACACAAACCGAAAATACATGTTTATTCCTTCCCACCTCCATGGCCCAGGAAAATTTAAACGTAGAATGACTGGTTTCTACTTTTAATCAAGGGATATTGGCACAACCATATTTTCCCAAGTTGTGAGAGCTGCAAAGCTCTACAGTGGAACAACCTGAAGCATTTTTAAAAGCCGTTTTGCCTTCCTTTGCAGAAGAGCCCTAGGAGTAAAAGCGATCAATTTGGCAGTGTTTGTTACTTGCCCAACCCATTTGCTCTTAGCTGATTTGGCAAGTAGCTGCTCCTAGACTGTTCGAGAACCAATATGGAATATGGATGTTGACAGAAACTTCAGTTACTTATCCTTAAATGAATTACAGAACGAACACTGTTTCTGCTCTAGGAAAACAGAGATTGTGAATATATGCATGCCTGACACCACTTTCATGTTAGGATCAAAGTACTGGACACCCCCTACTCCCACCTTAGAGACAAAACGGATTGTGTAAGGACCTGCCTCTATAGAGTCGTGGAAGTAAAGGAGCCCGCCCCTCTTTTACTCTCAGTTTTTTCTAGGGGCAAGTAATGTTCCAGAAGGTTATTCAACACCCAGGGTTAAATAGCGGGGCCAGGACTTAAACCTGGTCACGCAGATTCTGTGACTCTAAGTCCATGGCTCCTTCTGGCACGAGCCTGAAATCATGGATCAGAATCACATCTCAATGACTTCTCCTCACCTTTAGGTAAACAACCCAACACTTAGATCATGTCATACACAGAGCTGATGTTCTGGGCTCAGCCACCCTTCTGGTTCACGGTCGCAGAGTTACTGAATCCTACAGATAGTGGAGAACTGCAATGGGGTGTTAAACTCTGAAGGTCTCAGCACAGCTTGAAGGCTGCAAATCAGTCAGGCACACCTGTTTGGGTTTTACCTCAAGCCTCCGTTGGGTGTGTTGTTTTTCTTAGCTTTCAGCATGCAGATGTCCCTGTTAGAAAGCTGTGACTTTCCAGCTATGCCTCTTAGAAACACGCAGGGTCTGAGGAGGGATCATTTAGGCTGGCCGTGTGAGCGTGAAAGAGGGGTTTCCTAGTTGTGTGCGTCCAGGGGGTGTGAACCAAGCTCACCGTAGACTCCAGCACGGGCTTTGCTGCTGGTTGGTGTGTTGTCCTCCACACCCTCCTTTCTGCCTCCCACGGGGCAGTCACACAGGCACAGAGTACGCCGTTGCCTTCCTGACCCCACCAGCTCTGAGCCACAGAGGCTGGAGGGGGCTGAGGGAATCGTCAGAGGCACCCAAAGCTGACATTTCCTAGTGTCTGGTGGGAACCCTTGCTGGGGCTCCCCAGGCCAACGGGGGCCCCCTTGGAACTGGACTCTTTTGGGGTTTCAGAGGCAAAGCTTGAACACCATCAGCCAGGAGTGGTTCCGCATCTCCAGCCGCAAGTCATCCAGCCCCGCCGTGGTGGCTGCCTACCTGCTCACGGTCCAGCCCCTCTCCCCATGTGTCCTGAAGCTGCTCATCAACCTGGCCGACCGCAATGGGAACACGGCCCTTCACTACAGCGTGTCCCACTCCAATTTCGCCATCGCGAAGCTGCTGCTGGAGACAGGTCAGGAGACACTGCGTCTCGTCCGTGCGTCCTCGTCCCTCCGTGAAGGGCGGCTCTTGTGCCGTGCTTCCCTCCAGCAAGGAGACGCGTCCCTGTTCTGAGCTCCTTCATTCCAGGGACTGGACTGGACCATTCTGCCTGTGTTACATCATTTACTCTTCATAGCATCCCTGTGATGTAATATTGTGCTCATGCTGCAGTTGAGAAAACGAAGGCTCAAGAGCTGTAATACTGACTCGGGCCACAGCGCTGGTAAATGCTAGGGTTAGTTTTGTATTTGGTCGGTCCAGCTCTAGAGCTATATACCATACTGCCTCTGTGGAAGGTCACATTTTCCCATCTTTATAAGATACTTTTTTTTCCTTAGAGATGGAAGTCTTGCTCTGTCACCCAGGCTGGAGTACAGTGGCATGATCATAGCTCATCATAGCCTCTAACTCCTGGGCTCAAGTGATCCTCCTGCCTCAGCCTCCTGAGTATCTTAGGACTACAAGTATGCACCACTGTGCCTGGCTAATATTTTTTATAAAGATGGGAAAGGGAGGGGATCGGGGCTGGGGGGTGGGCCGGTGTCTCACTCTGTTGCCCAGGTTGGTCTCAAACTCCTGGGCTCAAGCGATCCTCCTGCCTCAGCCTTCTTAGTAGCTAAGACTACAGGTATGTACCACCACGCCTGGCTAATTTTTTTTTTTTTTTGTAAAGATGGGGGAAAGGAGGGTTGAGGAGGTATCTCACTATGTGGCCCAGTCTGGTCTCAAATTCCTGGCCTCAAGCATTCTTCCCACCTTGTCCTTCCAAATCACTGTGATTATGGGAGTAAACTACCATGCCCAGTCACTATAAGATACAGTTCTTTGAAACAAAGGTCATGGCTCTGTTTGCCCAGTTTGGCTCAAGTGATTCATTTATCCTTCATTGGGTGTTTATTGACGACACATGAAGTTCATACTGGCGACTGCCAGAGATGCAAAGGTGAGCCAGGTGAGTCCTCTGCTGCCTAGGAGCTTATAGCCTGACCATCAGGGCCGAGTAGGATGATGGCTTGTGGGGGACAGATACAGCACGTGACTTCGGGACTCAGAAGAAATGAGAGCGTGTCCGGTTCAGGGAGAAGGATGGGTGCCCTGGAGCAAGTGGGGCTCCTGAAGCTGAGAGTGTCCCAGGGAGGGAAAATTCACTTACGTTAGAAAGGAAAAGGTGCCTGGAGGCCAGAAAGCTTCCAGCCAGGATGGGCTGTGAACTCAGGTTGGGAAGGTGACCTGGAACCACAGCCCAGGGAACTTGAGTGCCAGGCTGAGTCGTGGGACCCTGTGGGGAAGACCCTGGAACGAGCCAAGGTGTTGTATAGGGAGCGCTGGCACCAGGGAGCTCTCTAAGAAGGGGAATTTGGCAGGGGCGGGGGAGGTTAGCGGAGGGGGCCAGGAAAGAGGTGGCAGGGCAGGCAGGGCAGACACTCTCTTTGCTGCAAGTGTCCAAAGAGAGATAGTGAGGATGGTAGCGACAGAGGAGGGAAGAAGCCACTGTGGGGACCGACTGGCTGTGAGGGACGAGGGGAGCCAGGGCTCTCTGTCGAGCCGGGATGGCTGAGAAGCCCCTGGGCTGCGACGGAAGAGAAGAATAAGTGTGGGGGAAGCAGAAGGGATCATTCGACTTGGGGCAGATTCTGAGTTTACAGCGAGAATGTCGGGAAGGCTTCTGAGAATTCCAGATGCAAAATCAATGGGCAATAGAGCTTTGGGTAGGGCCGATTGGGGCACAGGCAATGGAGGCCTAGAGGGGAGTATGGAGAGGGGTGGAGAAGGGAAGAGGGTGGGGAGAAGGCATCTTGTGCTCTTGGTTATCCTGTAGGTTGAGACAGAAGGAGAGGGAGACGGAGAGGGCAGGGTGGGGAGGGAGAGAGGGAGGGAGAGCCAGTGGAGGGAACCCAGATGGAGTCTTGTAAGAACCAGGAGAAACAGCAGGTTAGGGGCGGATGGGGAATGACAGCTAGTGAAGTAGAAGAGTGAAGATTGTCTACTGAGCCAAATGCTGCAGGGTCCCTGAAGGATGTGCCCAGGCTCAGCAGATGGAAGTGGGAGATGCCACTGGTGACTTTGTGTGTTTGGGGAGAGAAGAGATCTGAGCATCGTGTTTGTCGACTGAGAAAAATAATCCAGGAGAGGGAGAGGGACCGAGACAGAGAATGACAGAGCAGCAGAGAGACAGAGAGAAGAATGAGAGAGAGAGAAAGGGAGAGAAACAGACGGACCAGGTGCAGCGACTCCTGCCTGTATTTCCAGCACTTTGGGAGGCCAAGACAAGAGGATTGCTTGAGCCCAGGAGTTCGAGGCCAGTCTGGACAACATAATAAAACCTCATCTCCGCAATTTTAAAAATTAGCTGGGCATGGTGGTGTATGCCTGTATTACCAGCTACTCAGAAGGCTGAAGCGGAAGAATCACCTGAGCCCAGGAGGTCAAGGCTGCAGTGAGCTGGGATCCGCTAGACTGATTTTCTACATCGACTGGCATACTGGTATTACTATGGCACATTTGAAAAACTGAAAAATTCTGGCAAGGAGAGAATATCAAACATTGTTTTTTTTTTCCTCTTGCACAAATTTCATAAGTAGTCCTAACTGACATTTTTTTCATATACCAGATTGGTTACAATGAATACCATTCCAGACAATAACGGTAATAACAGTTAACTCTTACTGAGTGTTTATCGTGTATGAGGGCTGTTCTAAGTGCTTTGAATATATTAACTCAGTAAATTTCACAATAATCCTAAGAGGTAGGTTCTGTTATTATCCCCATTTTACAGAGGAGGAAATGCTAAGAAAAGCTAAGGGACTTGATTTTCTGAGATAGTTTTATTATTGCCCAAGAGAACCACCTGGGTTTTTCAGATGAGCAATACAGATGCTGGTTTTCCACGCAATATCACCCTTGGGGGGGGGGATCATTTGCATAACAGAGCTCAGTCTGTGTCTAATTATCCCCTCCCTGTCTCTTTGGTGGAAAGGGGTATGAATGCATAGTCCCAGAGCTATGATGCAGGGATTCCTTTAGAAATCTTGTTTATTACTTCATCTTAAAAACATGTCATTTTTGGCCAGGTGCGGTGGTTTAAGCCTGTAATCCCAGCACTTTGAGGCCGAGGTGAGGGGATTGCCTGAGCTCACGGGTTTGAGACCAGCCCGGGCAGCTTGGCAAGACCTCATCTCTACAATAAAGCAAAAATTAGCCGGGCGTGGTAGTAAGTGCCTATAGTTCCGGCTACTTGGAAGGCTGAGGCGGAAGGATTGCCTGAGCCCAGCAGGTGGAAGCTGGGTTGGCCCTGAGCGGGCCACTGCACTCCAGCCTGGGTGATGGAGTGAGACTCCAACTAAAAACCAAAAAAATGCCTTTTTTTTAAAAAGAAATAAGCAATATATACTGTGGGTGTATGCCAGTTTTTCAGTGTATTGTGAGATGTATCGTCTTAATTGCTGTTTTTGTTTTTGAGTTGGAGTCTCACTCTGTTGCCCAGGCTGGAATGCAGTGGCACCATCAGGGCTTACCGCAGCCTTGAATGCCTGAGCTCAAGTGATCCTTCTGCCTCAGCCTCCCAAGTAGGTGGAACTACAGGCGTGTACCACCACAGCTGACTTTTTCTTTTAGTGTTTTGTATAGATGGGGGTCTCACTTTGTTGCCCAGACTGGTGTCAAACTCCTGGCTTTAAGCAATCCTTTCACCTCAGCCTCCCACAGCATTCAGATTGCAGGTGTGAGCCACTACACCCAGCTTTAATTGTTTTAATATAGAAATTTTGAAGTTTTTCCTCACTTCATTTTCCAAGTTGCTTCTAGAAGATTTCTGGTGTTTATCCTGTGGTGTTTTTCTTTTAATTTAAAAAAATTTTTTTTAAAATTTTAAAGATGTGGGGCACAATTCGGGGTTAAATATACAAATGTTCAGGATGCAGGTACCCTTGTTGATGAGGTGTGCCCCACTTCCCCAGGCAGACTCCCACTACTGCCAATCCCGCTTCCCCGCTCCCCTCCTGGCAGTTTCCCGCTACTGCCAATCCTTTTCTCATAGTATTCCGATCATTGTTCAAGGTCCGCTTATGAGTGAGAACATGTGACACTCGGTTCTTTGTTTCTGTGCCTGTGGTGTTTTTCATGCCCCTGGTACATTGCACAGCAGATCCCTAGGCCCTTGGAAAGGCCCCGCAAACACAGCTATCCATCTGAGTTACACACAAACATGACTTCGTGAGTGTGAAACCTAAAATACACAGCTGTGGGTGACGTGTGGCCAGGTGAGTGATGGACCCTAGAACCAGACAGACCTGAGTCCTGGTCCCACTTCACGTTCACTTGAGCGGTTTATATAATTACTCTGACCCTCAGTGTCCTCATCTGTAAAATGGGAGTAACATCTTGTGCTCTGGCTTAGGAAATGAAGTCACAGCCATCGGCTCCCGTGGCTGTCTGTGGCTCTCTTAGGGTCTTCCTTTGCTGGGTATCTTCAGAAAACTTGTAAAGAAAAGTAGCCACTTTTAAACTGCTAAAGCTGGAAAACACCGGTTCCATCTGTGGAAAGGATTGCTCTGTTCCGTGGCCTCTTAGCCAGCAGGCAGCGTCCTGTGGAGCCGACTAAGATGACGTCTGGCTCCTGCCTCTTGGAGCCATTCCAGCGCCCCTTCCTCTTGCAGGCATCTGCAACGTGGACCATCAGAACAAAGCTGGCTATACTGCCGTGATGATCACTCCCTTGGCTTCTGCAGAGACCGATGAAGACATGGCTGTTGTCTGGAAGCTCCTAAGAGAAGGAAATGTGAATATCCAAGCTACTCAGGTGGGTGGTGTGAACATAATCTCCTCTTTAATAAGTGTGGGGGCACCTCCCAGCTTTATTCTGCCAGTGGGCTGAGAAATTCCATGCAGCTTCATGTAGTTTTAACTCAAGAAGGCTGGCACCTCCAAGTAGCATCCAGCCAAACCTGAATATTTGCGTTTTTTTGTAGGCTCCTGACGCCCAGACAGGCTGAGACAGAGGTCCTGAGCTTCTAATCCAGGTCCCAGTCTGAAACGGGGAAAATTCCATCTGGGCTTGACCTTTCAAGTCTACATTCCCAAAGTTAGCATCTTGAGAAAGCATTTGCTGGTTGGCTGCTCCAGGAAAGCATGTGTACATGACCTACCTTGATCATGACCCATGGGCACCTAATGAGGCAGGATGCTCTTTGGAGGGCCAGTCCTCTAACGAAGTTATCACCTCTGTCATCCCTTCTCTCCCCAAAGCCTCTTAACAAGGTCATAAGCCCCTAGCCTGATGGAGAGAAGGTGTGGATAGACAGAGCAGACAGAAGCATTTCCTGGTCAGTCCCCAGAGTAAAGAGCATGCCCACTCCTGAGGCCCTAGCTAAGCCTGGAGAGTTATTATAGAGTTCTGAGGGCGATTAATCCCCTTGGCGTGCCTTCTCAGTCTTTGAAATTACTGGGTCTCAGAACACCCCAGTCTTCCTTACCTCCCCACCAATCAATGAGAGTGACATTGTTCTGGGCACACAAATCACGCCCCAGGGAGCAGTGCCATCGGCCAGGCTGGGGAAAGCAGCTCTGCCAAGAACCAGTGGAGCCCTACCCAAAGGCAGTAGCCAAGGGGTCAGGACACGTGGGCTACACTAATTCACTGGCCACCTTTGCCTTAGGTCAAAAGAGCCCTTACAGTTGCCTAGGTCTACCTAGGTGGGCCAGTCCTTTAAAGAAGTTATCACCTCTGTCATCCCTATTCTTTTGCAAAATCCTACTGTGGTCTCCAGCTTCCTCATAGTGGTCTCCAACACTATGACCACTGGTGTCAGGAAATGTGTGCTCTACCAAAGTAACCCGTGTGTTACTCTAGACAGCTCTAATAATTTTTTTAAACTAAGTCAAAACTGGATACTCTGAATCTTTCATAGAGTGATTAAGTAGAAGCTGATTGTAGTTCCTGCCCCAAAAGATCTTACGATGGCAGAGGTACACAAGGCCACTCAGGGCTGAAATGTCTCTGTGCGGCTTCTGGGCTTCTCTACTTGAGGACACGAGATGGGAGTGTGGACCTCAGCCTGTAGGACTTTGAGTTAGACAGGGCTCTACATGGAACAACGGGGACTCCTCAAAAGGTCATTTGCCCATTTTTTGATGCACAGGAAAGAATAGAGTACATTTCCCCCTAGAAGGTTCATAGATGATAGTGTAACTGTCAAGAAGGGTAAAGAGTCTGAGATTTTATCCTGTGTGAACAGTTAACAAGGTAGCCTGCTACAGTTTTGTGGATGCTGGCAGAATACACGAGACTTCTGTACCAGAGACAAAGGACAATATAGCACCAACAGCTGTAGCAGTAGCCACAGTATCAGCTTGGCCCAATTCCCAGTTCCTACAGGGCAGTATGAGGAAGGCCTGATGCCTGAACATGGAGCAGGTTGTGTTATAGGAGAGGGACCCTGAGCGTAGGGAACCTGATCTTTTATCATGGACAGTAAGCAAGCCCACTCTTTTTTCAGAAGAAGGCACTTTCTCTGTCTTCCAAGGCTATTCACTGTATAAACATCCTTAAAAAGATAGTCTAGAACAAAAGGACAGATTCTTGGGTGCTTTACTGACAAGACATGTAGAAAAGCAAGGGACTTATGGAGAACTCACTCCCCAAAGTGACTGTAGGTAGTAACCAAAGCCGCTTTGCATACTTCATCTAGAAGCAACTTAGTGATGGCAGGAAACATATCTGTAGATTACTTTCCGGTTCTCAAAGTGTTTCCAACCACCTACAACTCCTCTTCCGTAAGACTCAATATACCTATTTTCATTTTAAATAATATGTTTCCCATAAATAACTTTTTCCCAAATGGGCCCACTTGCAAGATGGGATGCTTGCAAGTGGATCAAAATCCAACCTCTTCTTTTTTTACAGAGAAGAAACAAATGTTTTAGGAGGCTAAGGGACTCTCCCCAGCCCCCGAAAGAGGAATGAGATTCCTAGCTGCAGTTGTTTTCCTTGGCTTCCTCTGGGGCCTCCACGCATGAGAAGAGGTGGATCAGAAGGGTTGGGGGCAAGCAACTTACTCTCTCTGTGTCTCCAGGGTCACTGCAGTGCCTGGCATATAGTAGCGCTCTGTAAACGTCATAGAAGTCAATTGTATTAAACTGGACATGAGGGACTGTGAGGAAGGAAGGGGTCCTGTGTCAGGCAGAGGGACAGACGTGAAGACCATCTGCAGATGTCATCTGGTTTTAATAACAGTCGAGAGAGGGGTCTGGATGGAAACCTCATGGTCTGTTAGTTAGTCCAGTAAACAACCATTACCTCAGGGCTGAGTAAAGGCAAACCAAAAAAAGCAAACAGGCTCCTCTGGAAAGATCCGCCTGTGTTCCAGAGAAATGGGAGCCAGGACATCTAACCACACAGGCCCACGTTCTGAGCATCTGTCACGCGTTGTCTCTGCCCTCGTAGTGATCATCGTAGCTGACCTTTGACTAGCACTGGCTAAGCACTTGGGTTCCACCACAATCCCAGAAGGCAGGTGACACTGTCCAGCATTCTTATTTCACCAAGTCAGGAAGAGTCGCCGAGAACTTAACTTGACCACAGACACATAGGTAATAAGTGGCAGAGCCAGGATTTTTCTGATTCCAACCCCCCTTTCTTTTTTCTAAGCTCTAGCATTCTGAGCAGAGAGGCAGAAACCACCCATGACCACAGGTTGGAGCTTTAATCGGTCAACATGTCAGTAAACATGTGCTCAGCACTTTTTACCTGTACGATAGTGCATTCAGAGCCTCGGGGGAGACAAAGGGAGAGAAAACACAATCCTTGTCTTACTCCTGCAACTTGTCTCATCAGAGAGACCTGCCTGGGACCCAGGAGAACCGTGAGGGCAAAATATAATAAAATCAGCTGAGAGGACTGTAGCAACATATTAGTATCTACAAGAACATCTATGAGAAATGAGAAATGATGGTCCATTTGTAATCAGAAAAAAATTGCCCTCATACTTTATTATATTTACATCCTTTATCTCATTTGACTCCCACAAAAGCCCTAAGAGATGCACAGGACAAATAAATATTACATTAATTTTTAAAGAAAAGAAAAACCAAGATTCAGGGAAGGCAAATGGCATGGCCAGAGTTGCCCGCTAGAAAACAGCAGAACTCGCGCTCAGGCATTGCTGACTCCCATCCGTTGTTATGCCCGCCAATGATGACAGGAATGTCAACCACAGTGTTTGGTGGCTGTAGATTAAAACCGACCGTGGGACGCGCAAACAGAGATTTTGCCGAGACAAGAGGGTTCTGGGTATCACTAGCCTGAAAACGCCAGAGGTGTCGAACACACCAAGGCTTCCCGGAGAAAGTGGGACTGGGGCATTCAACCTCCATTCAACCTTTATCTGTTCCATCATTCAACATTTATCAGCATGTACTTGGTGCCGGGCACTGGGGAGACAGGGACACAAGCAGCTTAGGCCATCCAAAATGTCACAGTCCATGAGAAAGAGAGAGAGTGACAAGTTGCTATACCAAGAGGTAAGTGCTGTGTGTGTGAGTCCCATGACTGGGGAGTCAGGGAAGGCTTTCAAGAGGTTGTCGCGTTTGACTAGTGTCTTGAGAGGGTAGACGTTCGCCGGGCTGAAAAGGTTGTGTCCCATACCAAGGGCAGGTGATGCAGATCAGGGGTCATTTTCTCAAGAAGCCTCTGCCGAGCCCACCAAGGCTGGAGGGGGTCCCCTCCCCACTGGCACCAACCTCACCACGTCCCTGCGGCCCCGTGTGCAGGGAGGCCAGACCGCGCTCATGCTGGGAGTCAGCCACGACAGGCAGGACATGGTGCAAGCGCTGCTGAGCTGCCAGGCGGATGTCAACCTGCAGGACCACGATGGATCCTCGGCTCTCATGCTGGCCTGTCGCCACGGCAACGCCGACCTGGTGCGGCTGCTCCTGGCACACCCAGCCTGCGACAGCAGCCTGACTGACAAGGTGAGACTTACAGGCAATTAACGCGTCGCTGTTTCACTTCTGGTCCTGAAAAGTGCCCAGCCGGCCAGCAGAATCCGAGTAACCATGTGGCGGTGGCAGTAATGTCCGCCTTCTGAGGCTGTTGTGGGATTTAAATGAGATGATCCATGGTCCCTGCTTGGAGCCTTCGAGCTGGGAGACCCGCAACCCTCGCTTTCCACAGCGGCTTTGAGGCAGCAGCTTGGGTGGGAAGCCCTGCTGTCCAGTGGGGACTCTGGAAAGCCAGATGAAGGAACCAGCCTCACGGAATCAGCTCTGTAGTTACTAAGCTGAAAATGCCTCTCTGACATTGACCCCATGACATTGAGCCAGCCTGCTTGAGTTGCACTGCCAGACCCGGGCCTCTTCAATAAACTTCCTTGAAAGTGATACATAATGATAGCAATAGTGATAACAGTATTGAGGACTTATTCTGTGTTGGGTACTCTACAAAGCATTTGCCATGGACCATCTCATTTAAATCCCACAACAGGCAGGGTGTGGTGGCTCACACCAGTAATCCCAGCACTTTGGGAGGCCGAGGTGAGAGGATTGCTTGAGCCCGGGAGTTTGAGACCAGCCTAGGCAACATAGCAAAACCTCATCTCTCCAAAAAAAAAATCACAAAATTAGCTAGACATGGTGGCATGCACCTGCAGTCCTAGTTCCTCAGGAGGCTGAGATGGAAGGATCGCCTGAGCCTAGGAGAAAAAAAGAAAAAAAAAGGCCTGGTGTGGTGGCTCAAAACTGTAATCCCAACGCTTTGGGAGGCCGAGGGAAGGGGATTGCCTGAGCTAAGTGGTTCGAGACCAGCCTGGGCAACTTGGTGAGACCTCATCTCTACAGTAAATCAAAAAAATTAGCCGGGTGTGGTAGCGCACATCTGTAGTTCTGGCTATTTGGAAGGCTGAGGCGGAAGGATTGCCAGAGTCCAACAGGTTGAGGCTGCGGGTGGCCATGAGCATGCCACTGCACCCTGGCCTGGGCGACTGACTAAAAAAAAATAAAAATCCCACAACAACCTTGTGAGGTTGATCCTCTTGCTGATACCATTTTGCTCAAGGAAATGGAAACAACACATGATTAAGTTACATGCCCAAGATCACATAGTTAGTGGAACCCAGCTCCCTCAAACCCCTAAGGCCATGTTCTTCACTGGTCCGTCATCACCACGGTTGTCACATTGAAGCATCCATGTCTCTGAGTCCCTGCACCTAGCAGAATGCCCGCTACATATCCATTCATGAATCGACCATCAAGTGAATGGACCCCTAAGCTCTGGAGGTAAGTCAACAGTTAGGGATCCTGTCCTGATCATTACAGCTGGTAACACTTCTCGAGGATTTATGGGAGCTCAGCCTTTCTGCGCATTACTATGAATCCGCTCAGTAATCCAGTCAGACGGACAGTGAGGCCCACTTTTTACTGATAAGGAAACAGGACCGGAGCTGTCTGTCGTGTAACTCTCCTAAGGCTTACACACTGCTGATTCTCAGAGCAGGGATTCAAGCCCAGCCCTAACCCCAGCATCATTAATGTGGGTGCTGCAATTTAATGCTGTCACCAGACGTCTTTGTGCTCTCTGAACAGTCATGATTTGAACAGAACAAAAGCCTGGAGAGGGAAAGAGTCCCCTCCCTGCCCAGGCACAGTGCCTCCTGTAAGGGGCTGCATTGTAAGCTACGTGAGATGGACTCATCAGTGACCCAAGCTCTTGAGTCCCTGCATCAGAGCAGACACCCCATCCAGTGTCTCCAGGACCCGTGAACCCAGCTTTGCCCAAAGCCATTTCTGAGATCATTACAGAGCAGGGACCCTCTTGACATTCATATGGGAACAGGATGGGCTGCTGGAAGTTGAGAGCCCCCTTTTCTAAACACGATGTGGTCAGATAGAGGTCTGTATATGAATGAGCTTCCTGTGGGACCCGCTCTAGGGGAAAGGCCATGGCCCTTAATCTGAAACAGGCCTGTACACCAAAGGCCTGGGACCCTTTTCTTTTTTTCTTATTTTGATTTATTTATTTAGTGAGTTTTCGAGTCAGGATCTCACTCTGTTGCCCAGCCTGGAGCGCAGTGGCATAATCACGGCTTACCACAGCCTAGACCTCCTGGGTTTAAGCGATCCTCTCTTACCTTAGCCTCCTGAGTAGCTGGGACTATAGGTGTGTGCCACCCTGCCGGGCTAATTTTTAAATCTTTTTTTTTTTTTGCAGAGCCTCGCTGTATTGCCCAGGCTGGTCTCAAACTCTTGCACTCAAGCAATTCTCCTGCCTCGGCCTCCCCAAAATGCTGAGATTATAGGCATGAACCACCACACTCAGCCGTTACTCCTTTAGAAGTGATCACTGTTGAATCCCAGAAGAGGCCTGAGGAGGGAGACCCATGGGATGGGCGGGCATGAGCTTCGGAAGTCCCTGGTTAGCTGGGCAGTGAGTCTGAGAGCTCTCCTGGGCACCTCTGGAGGTGAGAGCCAAGCTAGGTGAGAAGAGAGCTATGTGGCTGCTTTCTGGAGGTGGTGGAAGAGCCATGGGGTCTGCTGCACTTCCGGTAACCCAAGCGAGATTGTTAGAAGCATAAACTTTAAAATTAAACGCTCATGAGTTTGAATCTGGAGTTAGTGACTGTGTGCTTTCGGATAGATCACCTAACCACTGAGCCTCTCCCTATGCTCATCTGTGAAATGGGATGAGTTGACCCTACCTAAATGCCGTAACATTTGCAAAGCCCACACCTGACATCTAGGAGGTATGCAGTTGGTGGTAACTGTCATAATTATGAACAGATGGACAGTGAGAGCTGAAATAGAATGACCTCCCTGATGAGTGGGTACCTGGGCATTGGCAGGCAGTGTCTGGAGGGAGCAGGGAGAGAGAAGGTCTGGAGTCAGGGAGCCAGTCAGAGAAGGGAGCCGGACCCCCAAAGGGAGAAGCCAGCTAGTCGATTTGATTGGTTGAGACCAGTGGTTCTTGACCAGGGGCGAACTTTGCTCTCCAAGGGAGATCTGGCAATGTCTGGAGACATTTTTGCTGGCCCCTGGGAGGGGAGAGAATGCTCCTGACATCTCATGGGTAGAGGCCAGGAATGCCACTAAACATCTTGCAATGCACAGAACAGCAAAGAATTCACAGTTTTCGGGCCCAAACTAGCCATGGTGCTGCAGTCGACAAGGCCTGGTTTAGGCAAGCACTGAAACCTAAATGGGCGAGGAGAACCAGTCCCCAGTAAAGTGCTGGATCAGGAAGAGCCGGGCCAGGCTGAGGACCAGGCTGCTACAGGTCGGGGCAGGGCTCTAAGCCTGGAAGGGAGGGACTGGCGGGCCTACCCAGGACGTGGAGGCAGAATTCGATCATAGTGGGAGGTGAAGCGTGTTCGGGAAAGCCCAGCAGGCGCAAGGGTGCCCGGGCAGCATGTGCAGGCCCACAGGCAAGGTGGGTCCTAGACCTCCCCCACACCCGCATCGCATGCCACCTGCCTAGGTCAGGGTTGATTCGTGAGTCACACCCAAATTTCCCACAGGTGAAATCAGTGTCTCTAGCCACGAAGTGAGAAATTTCAGTGGGAGGAGGGAACTGTTGACAAGACCCTACCAAGTACCAAGGTTTGCACCGGGTACTTCCCATTTAAGGGGAAAGTTCAGGCCAGATACAGTAGCTCGTTCCTGTAATGCTAACATTTTGGGAGGCCAAGGTGGAAGGGTCACTTGAGGCCAGAGCTTGAGACCAACCTGGGCAACATAGCAAGATCCGGTCTCTACAAAAAAATTTTTTGAAAAAGATAGCAGGCAGCCGGGCTCAGTGGCTCAGCCTGTAATCCCCCGCCTTGGGATCCTGCGGTGAGTGGATTGCCTGAGCCCGCGGGTTCGAGACCCACCTGGGCAACTTGGCGAGACCTCATCTCTACAATAAATCAAAAATTAGCCGGGCATGGTAGCGCGCACCTGTAGTTCCAGCTACTTGGAAGGCTGAGGCGGAAGGATCGCCGGAGCCCAGCAGGTCGAGGCTGCGGTGGCTGGGAGCAGTCACTGCACTCCAGTCTGGGTGACAGAGACTCCAACTAAAAAAAAAAAAAAAAAGCAGGCATAGTGGCATGCACTTGTAGGCCCAGCTACACTGGAGGCTGAGATGGAAGGATTCCTTGAGCTCAGGGGTTTGAGACTGCCGTGAGCTATGACTGCACACTCCAACCTGGTTGACAGAGCAAGGCCCTGTCTCTAAAAGATAAATAAACAGATAAAGGAAAGCTCAGCCCTTATCACCATATCATTTCCATATTTGTCTTTCTTATGGAGGTTTAGATGTTAGTAGCAGGGATCGTTTGGGAATTCTCTTGGAAGTCTGAGAGAGAATTCGTGTCCTGAAATTGAAGGTGTCATCGACACTGAAAGTTGCCGGCACAGCCGGCAAGGCACTTTCCCTGGGTTTAGAAAGCATCTCAAGGAAATCCACCACCCAACTTCACCAGCCGCCAGGGGGGTGAAGGACCAGGAGGCAGTGGGTGGTGACGACTGAGCCCTGGGCCCCAGACATGCACCCTTTGAAGATCTTGCTTTGGCACCTTCTTTAAAGCTCCCATTAGATGGAAAACGTCTTGAAGTCTTGCTCATCTGCCTGATACACAGCGGGTTGGTGATGAGTTCCTGTCCTATAGAAAGACATTCCCCTTCCCACATACACACACGAAGCATGCCAGCTGCCTGAGCCCCCATCTCTACAGGTGGCAGAGTCGGGGTCCCCTTCACCAGGCTTGCAGTGTGGCTGGGCAGGGGCTCTCCGTGCCTGGTTCCTGTTTGAGCTGCATGCCACAGGCTTGTTCCCAGGGTTCTGGCAGAACATCTGAGGGATACTCACCCTCCCCAGGTGGTCTTTCCGGTCACATTTCCTGAGCTGAGTGGGGTCCCCGCTTTCTGTGTCTGAAACTGAGTAGCCCACAGATGCAGGCTACCCTCCAGAGGGGGACCTCCTCGTCTCCTGGGACCAGTCCTGGGCTCTCTCCCATAAACAGTCACCACAGCTGTCCTTGTTGACGTAGAGCCTTGGGTTGACAGATCATAGTGGGGCAGAGTGCCGGCCATAGGAGCTCCAGCCTAAAACCCAGGCCTCTCTCTTAGGGCGCTTTTACAGGACTTCCCTGCTGGAAGTCTTTGCTTTGTTCCAGTATTTTGCAATTTAAGAACACGATGATTTATGTTGCTCAGGTTTTCATCCACTAGAAATGAACACTTTTATGTCCTCACGCACATTTTAAAAACTGAGTCAGGGTCTCACTCTGCTATCCAGTCTGCCTGACAAATTCTAGCCATCTTGGCCTCCCTAGATGTTGTGGGGAGGTTTGTTGTTGTTGTTTTGAGTTGGGGTCTCACTCTATCGCCCATGCCAGAGTGCAGTGACACGATCAGGACTCACCGCGGTGTTGACTTTCTGGGCTCAGGTAATCCTCACCGGTAGCTGGGACTGCAGACACATACCACCACGCCCAGCTAATTATTTTTTGTAGAGATGAGGTCTCTCTATATAGGCTGGTCTGGAACTTCTGGGCTCAAGCAATCCTCCCACTTTGGCCTCCCAAAGTGCTGGGATTACAGGAATGAGCCATCACCCCCGGCTTCTGTCTTTCAACAATGCATGTTGAGTGCCACCCAAGTGCCAGGCCTTCCCATGCACCAGTGAAGAGACCCAAGCGAGTTCCTGACCTCATGGAGACTGAGGTTTCACAAATAACCCCACAAATACCAAAGGGTAAGAGTGGTAAGGAAGAATCCAGGGAGTCATGGGACCTTTAGAGAAAGAACTGCATATGTTTCGAGAAGCCCCGGTGCCATGTTTGGGGTCCGGCTTCCTTTCTCTGCTTCTCCCGTCCATCCCCACCCCACCCTGGTACACAGGGGTCAGTCATCCTCTCCCAGAACTCTCTCTCTGCTCCTTGTTCCCCACTGGGTCAACACTTTGCCGCGCACTGTGGTTATTTGCACGTGGCGCCTGATGGCAGCTGGGTTCCGTCCTGGTGCACGGGAAAGCCTGGAGGTCGCACGCGGGATCTTCATCTTCCCATCTGCTTCTGGGAGGGAATGCTTCACGTTGGAGAAAGCAATTCCGCCCATACATAGCAGAGAACAATCTAGTGGGGTCTTGGGCGCCCCCTACCTGTCAAACTGATTCCCCAGCAAAATGTTAAAATAGTCACAGGAGGTCCATAGCTCAGGTTTTACCTCCAAATGAGTTTACCAAGAGTTCACGTGGTTTTGGAGCTGTTTCAACTTCAGAATTCTGGATACGGGAGTGAACCCACCCGTAAAAGGCAATGGCTGCCCTCGTGGAGACCAGAGTGCTGCCAGATCTATGTAGAGAATGGCCGTGTTGCCTGCTGAGAGCCCTTGGGGTGTAAACTTTTGAGACAGTGGAACTGACAGCTTCTTGCACGACCACGGCAGTGTAAAAAGTGCTGTGGCATTATGTATCAGGAGATTAAAATGTGCATTTCCTTCAATGCTGAGCCCACTTCTTAAAAAATGGGAAAAGGTCGGGTGTAGTCTCATACCTATAATCCCAGCACATTGGGAGGCTGAGGTGGGAGGATTGCTTGAGGCCAGGAGTTCTAGACTAGCCAGGCAACATAGCGAGACCTCGTCTCTACAAAAAAATCAAAAAATTAGTGGGGTGTGGTGGTGCACGCTTGTAGCCCAGCTACTCGAGAAGCTGAGGCAGAGGATTGCCTAAGCCCAGGAGGTCGAGGCTGTGGTGAGCCATGATCGTGCCCACCACACTCCAGCCTGAGTGAACAGAGTAAGATCCTGACTCAAAAATAAAATAAGGGGAAAATACTGGGTGCAATGGCTCATGCTTGTAGTCCCAGCTACTAGGAAGGGCTGAGGTAAGAGGATTGCTTGAGGCCAGACATTCAAGTCCAACCTGAGCAACCAGTGAAACCTCTGTCTCTATTTAAAAAAAAAAAAATGGAAACTGCTTTTTGCATTAAGTTTATGGTGGTGGAGACTTGGAAACAGCATAAATCTCCAATGGAAGGGGTTAGTAAATTATGGAATATTATATAGCCAAGAAGAAAAAAGGACACATTATGATGGCTGTAAGAACAGGGGAAGGGTGCGGTGGCCTGCACCTGTAATCCCAGCACTTTGAGAAGCAGAGGTGGGAGAATTGCTTGAGCCCAGGAGTTCAAGATCAGCCTGGGCAACATAGCGAGACCTCATCTCTACAAAAAGTCAAAATATTAGTCACATGTGGTGGCACGCGTGCTTGTTGTCCCAGCTATTCGGAGGCTAAGATACGAGGATTGCCTGAATCCAGGAAGTCGAGGCTGCAGTGAGCCATGATCATGCCAGTACACCACTGCACTCCAGCCTGGGTAATAGAGTGAGACCTTGGCTTCAAAAAAAAAAAAACAAACAAACAAAAAAACAGGAGAAAATCTTATAGTATACTATGGTGAGTTAAAAATAAAAGCAGATTCAAAGTGGATATACACCATCATTCCTTTATTTAAAAACCAACAACAAATTTGCACAAGGGAAAAGACTGGCAGGAAACACAAGGTTGCCAACTTTCATTTACGTCCATTTAATGGAATAGGAAGGGTTATTTTCTTACCTCTGTTTTTCAATTTTTTAAAAAAGCATTAAACACCAGGCGACTGTTCTTAATTTTCACTGGCACAGATTTCCCAGGAGTGCGCGTCCTTTCCATGGAAGGGGTCCCCTTTCTCATAATCTTCATGCCATTTAAATCTTCCCTCCACTGGGGCTTGGAACAGACTCCTTCACCCCGGGCATACCCCCACTCCCAACTCACCCTTCCCTTGCAGATGGGATGCAACTTCCTTCTCCTTTTCCTTCTCTCCGGTAGGCTGGCCGCACCGCTTTGTCCATGGTTCTGAAGACACCTACCCATATGGAAATCGCAGGGCTTCTGCGGGCCCACACGGAGCAGGGCAGGTCCCTGGGGCAGTAGTGACTGCAGAAGAACAGGCACCCAGAACAAAAGACTGCTTCTCTGGACTCCTCCCTCGCCCCTGGAGAGGGCAGGGGTCACAGCCAAAGGGCCACCCCTCAAGAGAGGAAACTATGTCAGATATGCACATACATTCCTGTAGTGAAATTCTGCTCATTAGGATGCTTTGTAGTTTTAGCCTTAGGCCAAGCCTGGAGACCACTGAGGGCTTCCAGTGGGTTCAAGGCACAAGGTGTGAGGTGCACTGGTGTCATCCAACCATCTGAAACACCTTCAGCCTTGAACTTCTGGTGACTCTACCCTCTGTACAACTGGGCAGGCAGGAGCACATTAACACATTAGCAAAGCAATACTTTTTACATGGAATTTTAAAGTGCACTGTCTTTTGGTTCATTTCATAAAGTCTGTACAAGTATGTCCCATTGAATATGCATGTCTAGAGGTGGGAGGGGGATTTAAGCCACCCCCTGATCGTCAATCTCTGGAGGGTCCTAGGAGAATCACCATGCAGACAAACAAGCCCCATTTGGGACCTTTTTCTAGACAGGGTTGACAGGGAAATGATATCTTAAATTCAGACGAGGCAGGAAGAAACACATGGGCGTCAATGCCAGATGTGTAGTCTTGACCATTTCTGAGCCATCAAGTGGCTCCAGGGAAATTGGAATTAATTAGGATTAATTAATTAGATTAACTAATTCAGTCCAATGGCACACACCACATGTATCCAGGCAGAGTCCAGTGACATCAGCTTCTCCGAACCTGGGGAGAGACGAATGAGCTGGAGTGCACTTCCTCCAGGGGTGGGGTAGCGTCACCTGAAAGCCACCACATTTCCTCCGTAGCCATCTCCATGGCCTCTTGATCATCCCAGTGCATCCCCTTGTAGCCCCTGTGAGCAAACACCAGCTCTAAGGTTTTCCGAGGCTCCTGGCTGCAGAACTTCCGGCGGGGCTGCAGCAGGACCATAGGAGCACCTGGAGAGGGCAGGGCAATTCTTTCTGAAGCTCCCATATCCCCTGGGCCTGCACGAGCATGGTTCATATTCGGTAGCTCACGTAAGGTTATCTGAATGTGTTCTTTCTTCAAATCCCTTATGAACAAAAAGCCCCCCTTATGTGCAAAGTAGAGGCGGTCAACGTCTGATGAGCTTCTCGTTGGAAACTCAAGAGTTGGAGTTGTCGTTCTGGCTGGGATGCTGATTTGCTGGGTGCCCCCTGGGTGAAGCCTCTTTGGGCTCCAGTTTCATCATCTCTAAAAACAGAAATCATCATACAACATACCTCCTGGGAGGAGGGCTGCACCAGGAGCCGCTGATGGAAGGTTTGGAATCCAATTTGTAACCCATTAAGGCTGTCTACAGAAACGATGTATGCACCGCCTATGCCATTGCGATTCGTATGCGAGACTCGTGTCCCAGGTCACCGTGACATATGTTGATGCTGCTCAGAGGTGGAGCGACTGGAACAAATAATGAGCTAACAATGCTTTAAATGGGTTTTTTTTTTTTAACCTCAAAGCACATTGTAAAAGCAAAAGCCTCCATTAATAAATGTTATAGCCCCGTGCTTTGCAAACATCTATACAAATCACTTGGGTCTTGTTAGAGAGCATCAGGTCTGGGGCAAGGCCTGAGGCTGTATTTCTAACCTGCTCCCAGGAGCTGCTGATGCCATTGGTCCCACCCACACTCCCAGTAGCGAGGCTCTGGCCTGTCCTTACTGTTTGTATATTAAAATGCTGCCTCTGAGTCTTCTGCCTCAAAATTTCTTTGCATCCCTCTGCTCTTGGTTCCTGGGAATTTTCAGAGCAGGACTTATTTGCTATTGTATCTCTGCAGACAGCAGTCAGGGGTCTGTGTCTTGTGTTGCCAGTTTAGGATCTGTTTCTGCATCTCACGTTAGGGTAACACTTTTCAGGTCGCTCTTTTAATATCTCATTTAAGCCCAGCTATTAAAAACAGCTTATTGCCAGTTGCACACCTGGGAAGATCACTTGAGTCCAGGAGCTTGAGATCAGCCTGGGAAACATAGTGAGACCAATCTCCATGGAGAAAGAGAGAAGGAGGGAGGGGGGAAAGCAAGAAAAAGAGAAAGAAAGAAGGATGGGAAGGAAGGAAAGAAGAGAAAAGAAGAGGAAAAGAGAAAAAAAAAAAGAGAACGAAGGGGGGGAGGGAGGGAAAAAGAAATAACAAGCCCAGTTTACTTACCAGAGAAAGCAAACTGGTTTTCTTCAAGTTTGAAGACTACTGCTCATTGTCATCAAAAAAGACTCTGTCCATCCTTTTTGAGATTTTTTTTTTAAGAGACGAGACTGAGAACACATGGAGACCAAATCAGAAAGTGCTCTGAAAGCTGTGGTAAGGTTCTTCAAGGGGGGACCCCCCCAAAATGGAATTTATTTATAAAAATTTGTGTATTGATTCTCACATGTTCAAATTTCAGTCACCTTCAAAGTACTCTCCATTTGATGTAATACACCTATCTAGATGCTTTTTTTCCTGCTCAAAACAGTCTTTAAACTCATCAATTGTGATGCTTTTTAGGACTTCTGTTGTGTTTTGTCTCACCACTTCCACATCAGCAAAATGTTTCCCTTTGAGGACTCTTTTCATCCAGGGAAACAAAAAAAAAAGTCACTGGGGACAAGATGGGTGAATAGGGAGGTTGGGACATGGGGTGGGGTGGGGCGGGGTCACGCCGTTTTTGGTCAAAAACTGCCAAACACCTATACCTGCTCAGTGTGGCCAGGTGCATGATCATGGTGGTAGAACCGGTCACCCATTTGCCACAACTCGAGATGTTTCTTCTGCAAATTGTGACACAACTTTCTCACAAAGTCCAGAGAAAAACTTTGGTTGGGCTGGGCTTGGTGGCTCAGCCTGTAATCCCAGCACTTTGGGAGGCCAAGGTAAGTGGATTGCCTGAGTCTGTGGGTTCGAGACCAGTCTGGGCAACTTGGTGAGATCTCGTCTCTACAATAAATAAAAAATTAGCCAGGTGTGATAGCGTGTGCCTACAGTTCCGGTAACTTGGAAGGCTGAGGCAGAAGGATCACCGGAGCCCAGCAGGTCGAGGCTGGGGTGGCCGTGAGTGTGCCACTGCATTCCAGCCTGGATGACGGAGTGAGACTCCAACTCAAATTAAAAAAATAAAAATAAATTTTAAAAAATTGGTTGGCTGGGCACGGTGGCTCAAGCCTGTCATCCCAGCACTTTGGGAGGCCGAGGCGAGAGGATTGCCTGAGCCCAAGGGTTCGATAACAGCCCGGGCAACTTGGTGAGACCTCGTCTCTACAGTAAAAAAATGAATCGGGTATGGCAGCACGCACCTGTAGTTCCAGCTCCTTGGAATCCTGAGGCGGAGGGATCACTGGAGCCCAGCAGATCGACACTGGGGTGGCTGTGAGTATGCCACTGCACTCCAGCCTGGGTGACGGAGTGAGACTCCAACTCAAAAAAAAAAAAACTTTGATTGACCGTTTGATCCGGAGGAATCAATTCCAAGTGTACTACAAGGGACCCGCCTTCCAAAAGATAAATCCAGTTTGGGGGGGTTCCCCCTTGCATTCTTAAGGCAATGGAAAGCTATTAAAGCCAGATTTGAGTTTAGAACTCCAGACCCCCAACCCACATTTAACACCTATTTATCAGGGACCCACTCCCTTCCATGTACTATTTTGGGGCGGGGCTACAATCACAGGCAAGACAGGCCCTGAGTGCACAGCACTTTAGGGAGGAAGATGAACGAGGCATTTCTGTGATGCCAGCCCTATCACAACTGGGAGAGTACAGGGTGCCGGGGTAGCCCGCAGCCTGGCCTGGGGTGCACAAGTGGTCTCGGATGACTTCCTGAGGGTTGTTTACATTGCCTAAAGGATGTGTGAGGGTTAGCCAGGCAAAGAGGAGCAAAGAACGTTCCTCCAAGGAAACTGAGTAGAGCACCAAGACAACAGAGAACATTGATCTGGCATGAAAAGAACGCCCATGTTCCTGGAGAAAGAAAGGGAAGGGTTGCGAAGTGAGGCCAGAGAGAGCCGCAGCAACATGTTGGGTCTTGAAGGAAATGGGAATGCAGGAAGCCACGCTCAGATGGACATTTTAGAAAGAGCACCCTGGTTTTTTCAGTATGAGTGAAATTTATTCAACCAACATATGCGGACTATCTATTCAGGGCCCTGGGCTTCAGAGTTCACGGTTTGGTGGAGGAGACAAGTGTAAGCTAATGATGACTGAGAAATGTGTAAGTCCAGCCTATGCAACAGAGCAATAACTTGTCTCTGCAAAAAAAAAAAAAAAAGGATTAGCCGGGTATGGTGGCACGTATCTCCTAGTCCTAACTGTTTGGGAGGCTGAGGCAGAGGGTTGCCTGAGCCCAGGAGGTCGATGTTGCAGTGAGCCGTGAGCCTGCCACTGCACCCCAGCCTGGCCGAGAGACACTCGAATTAAAAAAAAAAATGTGATAAGAAGTGAAGGTCTGAATAGTGAGGCACAGACTGGCTTGGACAGAGGGAGTCAGGGATCCTCCCAGAGAGGTGGCTTTTCAGCTAAGCCATAAAGATACATAGGAGTTTGTCAGGGCATTTTTGATAGACCAGCAGGCTTGTGAATAGACATGGTGTGTGAAAAGGTGTGGCCTTTCAGGCACCGGAGAGAATGTCGGAATGACTTCAGTTTTGGTTATCTCAGAGAAACAACAAGAGAGGAGATGGGAGAGAGAAGTCAAGAGAACTTTCTCACTCGTGTGTCGATATTATGATAGGAACTTGGGCTTGAGCCTATAACTTGAGGGGGAATGGCAGTCTCCTTTGAGAGTGCAAGGCTCCTTTTAGCAAAAGCCATATCTGACCAGATATGGTGACTTACGCCTGTAATCCCAGAACTTTGGGAGGTCGAGGTGAGAGGATTGCCTGAATACAGGGGTTCGAGGATAGCCTAAGCAATTTGGTGATACCGCATCTCTACAATAAATCAAAAAATTAGCTGGATATGGTGGCATGTGCCTGTGGCTCCAGTTACATGGAAGGCTGAGGTGGAAGGATCGCCTGAGCCCAGCAGGTCGAGACTGTGGTGGCCATGATTGTGCCACTGCACTCCAGCCTGGTTGACAGAGTGAGACTCTAACTCAAAAAAAAGAGGCACATCTGTGCAAAACTTGCATGTAACTTGTAACTTCAGGGATTCTAAACTCTGCACTTCAAATATTCCTATGGGCAGTGGGAAGCCATGGAAGAATTTTCTAGACAGTGAAGCCATATGATCAGATTTGCTCTTTAGAATGACCCCGGGGGAGACTGGAAGCAGGGGAATCCACTAGGAGGTTCTGGGGAGACATCAGGTCTCAAACAAGAAGGACCCAAGGACCCAGTCCATGGTGGCATTGGTCGGAATGATGGATAGAGCCCTGCGGGAAAAGTATCAGGAATGGGAAGATCCAGCACATGGTGACAAACCAGAGGGTGGACAGTGGTCCTAAATGGTGAAGGGAGAATGGTGGCGCCATTGTCCCCCAATATACATTCTTCCCTTCCTCCTTGGTAATGGAATCCCCTGCCCTTAGCTGGGCACATGGCCACCTAGAATAGAGATTCCATTTCCCTGCACCTCTTGCAGCTTGGCACAACCATGTAACTACGGTCTGGCTAATGAGACATGTGCGATGTGACGTGTGCAAACTCTGGCTCCCGCATTTAAAGGAAAGGAGAGCACATCCGGAACGTGGTGATGACCCATCTTGATCCAAGAAGATGGTGCCGGCATCCCGGGGATGGGAGGACAGCATGGTAGAAGGAGCGTAGGTCCTCCACACGTGAAGCTGGCATATCTTCTCCAGAATGCTTATCTGCGATTGACACAGGAGCAAAAAAGAAGCTTCCAGCCTGTCGAAGTCTTTGTACATTTTGGTCTCCATGGAAGAAGGAGCTGGGCCAGGGTGCTCAGCCACACATGGCAGTCTCAAGAGTCCAGTGCAACAGCTAGAGGGTCTCAGGGCGGGAAAGCTTGGGGAGACCTTCTGGAAAGAGCATCCTTTCTGTGTCTAAGCATCATGGATGTCTCCTTGTGATACCAGCCCCTGATCCACGCCCACAGTGGAATCACCCAGGCCACAGCCCTGCAGAGAAAAGCAGATTGTGTGGCTCCAGCAGATTCCTGGATATAGGCTGTGTTCCCCATGGAAGCTGGCCTTTCAGTGAGTTATTGCCAGTGAAGTGGCCCAGTGTGGGAATATGGACAGGACCACGGGGTTATCAGAGAGATCTGAATGGAGAAGCACATTGAGTGCTGGGCAGTGGCAGAGGCATATGGGGAGGGAGTAAGGAGAGGGTGAAGCTGTGAGGTGGAGTAAGTAACACTGAGGGAGAGGCAGCGTTTGCATGAGTAGAGGTCAAAACAGGTTGCAAGTATCAGCAAGAAGGAGCTGAGAGGTGGAAGAAAGATTCAGAGCAAAGAAGAAGCTTATGGAGTGGACACCCTGTCCTCCCAGCCTAGTGCCCTCCCCTCGCCAGCCCCACCTAGCACCCACGTGACTGCAGATGCCACGTTCCCGTGAGAAACCTTGGCCCCTGTCCCTCAAAGGACAGACCAACGCAACTAGGCCCATCATGCCCTCTCCTGGGAATTCTGAAGCTGGGATTCAGGAGCCAGATTTCATTTTCTTCTGGTGTTTTGGATGAAATCTGTAAAGCTCAGAAGCTGCCAGTGGCCAGGCCTAGCCTTGTGGGCTGAGGGGAAAATAGAGC